AGTTCCTATTAATTATTTAAACTAGATATTATATATATTTTATAAAACAATTATATGTATATGTGAAAACCTTTTCCCACACATTTTTTTTCAGCAAACATTTCAAACAATGTTTTGCATTATAGTGACACCGTAATTTCATCCAAGAAATGGTATGTAAAGATGTATAAACCAATATATATTATATGTTGGGTAATGGAACATAGACGCCGGACACCTCATTCTGATGTGTATTTATGTTAACAGTTATGTTGGAATTGCTTAAAGTGACATTAAACCCTCAGATTTTTTAACATAAAACAATACTGTAATGTGTGCCTTACTTTAATCCATGGTTGTTTCCCTTCTCTTTGCTGCTCTTCCTTTTAAATCTGTATCTGTTCTCATGCTAGGCAGAACTTCTGTTTTGCAGCAGACTGCCTTGTCTCAGGAATGGATACTGAGCCAGCACTACAGGAAGAGGCACTCAGCTGCAAAGGGAAGTTCTCCGCCAGCATGAGAAGACATGAGAATTTACAGGAAGAGCAGCAAAGAGAAGGGAAACTACCATGGATTACAGTAAGGCACACATTACAGTATTGGTTTATGTTAAAAAATCTGAGGGTTTAATGTCACTTTAAGCATTTTATTTTTGTGCAAGATTATGCAATCTTTTATTTATAATTTTATATTGATTTGTTTGTGTATTTTTTTATAATAATTAATTAATTGCATTAGCCCCCAAATACTCACGCTTTTGGGCTTCTTTTTGCATGTTCATTTCCACCGAGATTATAGAGACAGAACATTGGAGGGAGAGTGTCCATCTTGAGGCACTCCCAGTTGGATAAGCCAGAAGTACAAAGCTTTCCTCCATTCAAAGGTATATTTTTGTTCCTGAGAAAAGCTGATGTCTCTCTTCCTGTAGCGGTCATAGAGGTGATGTTAGAAGCTCCCCAGAGGAAGATTGAACATTATGTGGTCACCCTAAATGTGATGTGTACAAAAGGAGGAAGCTTTTGAAGGAGTGGAGCAGCGTGTCCTTACCAATAGTTGGTGTAGAGACACTGAAGCTGGTTTAACCACATAAATGTGAGCTGATCTCTGTGAGAGCCATTTCGCATGGGCATTCTGATCAGGCCTGCTTGTCAGTTCTCAGGCAGAACTGATCAGAAGCCCGATGTTAGTCTATGGGCAGCTGGACCTAAATGGACGTGCATCCGTTTACATACTATTACCCCTGGCTTCGGCTAGGCTCGAAAAACTGAACGGAACACCTGCTCATGGCGGATCGGAGGTCATCTGATGTAAATGGACACATGTCTGTTTACATCCGACTCCTGTTAGACCAACATTGGTCTCGTAATTCCAGTTTATTTCTCCATTGCATGATCACAACAGTGACAACCATTCTGAATTGCTTTAACCAGCAGGGGATCCCTGCACAGTTGCCCTGCTGATTGGAACTTAAGGCGCCCATATGAAAGGAGCCTTATACGATGAGGCCTGAGGATCTGGTGAGAGTTCCTATGTGACATTTGTACAAAAGATGTGCTACCTTCATAACAATGAATATCGCAGTGAATTATTTGATGATATAAAAGATACATGACATAGGGGTCTATTCACAAAGCTGCCGAGGGCAGCCGAGTGAATGACCGATCAGAAGTGAAGTGAGCCGAACACTGTTCGGCTATTCACTTCAGGCTGGTACGGCTGATTTCAGCCGATGTACGGCTGATTTCAGCCGATGTACGGCTGATTTCAGCCGATGTACGGCTGATTTCAGCCGATGTACGGCTGATTTCAGCCGATGTACGGCTGATTTCAGCCGATGTACGGCTGATTTCAGCCGATGTACGGCTGATTTCAGCCGATGTACGGCTGATTTCAGCCGATGTACGGCTGATTTCAGCCGATGTACGGCTGATTTCAGCCGATGTACGGCTGATTTCAGCCGATGTACGGCTGATTTCAGCCGATGTACGGCTGATTTCAGCCGATGTACGGCTGATTTCAGCCGATGTACGGCTGATTTCAGCCGATGTACGGCTGATTTCAGCCGATGTACGGCTGATTTCAGCCGATGTACGGCTGATTTCAGCCGATGTACGGCTGATTTCAGCCGATGTACGGCTGATTTCAGCCGATGTACGGCTGATTTCAGCCGATGTACGGCTGATTTCAGCCGATGTACGGCTGATTTCAGCCGATGTACGGCTGATTTCAGCCGATGTACGGCTGATTTCAGCCGATGTACGGCTGATTTCAGCCGATGTACGGCTGATTTCAGCCGATGTACGGCTGATTTCAGCCGATGTACGGCTGATTTCAGCCGATGTACGGCTGATTTCAGCCGATGTACGGCTGATTTCAGCCGATGTACGGCTGATTTCAGCCGATGTACGGCTGATTTCAGCCGATGTACGGCTGATTTCAGCCGATGTACGGCTGATTTCAGCCGATGTACGGCTGATTTCAGCCGATGTACGGCTGATTTCAGCCGATGTACGGCTGATTTCAGCCGATGTACGGCTGATTTCAGCCGATGTACGGCTGATTTCAGCCGATGTACGGCTGATTTCAGCCGATGTACGGCTGATTTCAGCCGATGTACGGCTGATTTCAGCCGATGTACGGCTGATTTCAGCCGATGTACGGCTGATTTCAGCCGATGTACGGCTGATTTCAGCCGATGTACGGCTGATTTCAGCCGATGTACGGCTGATTTCAGCCGATGTACGGCTGATTTCAGCCGATGTACGGCTGAAATCAGCCGTACCAGCCTGAAGTGAATAGCCGAACAGTGTTCGGCTCACTTCACTTCTGATCGGTCATTCACTCGGCTGCCCTCGGCAGCTTTGTGAATAGACCCCATAGTGTCTTTCTTAATGAGGATTGTCATTTCAGAGCTGCATGTCTGCATAAATTGCATTTAGTCTTACTGGTGTCTTTCTTAAAGAAAGGAAGTGAGAGGAATTCTTTCCATCGTAAATACATAAAAAAAACAAAAACTGACCATTCGTAACTCTCTCCCTTTACTATAGAAAAAAAATACTTTTATAGGCTTACTAAAAGCTCAGAAGGTAATCGAAACGTAAACTACATATATAAATGAAGTATACATTTTTGGAATACCAGGTAAATACAGTATGTTAGACCCCACTCCATGGTTATTGTATATTCTGTGCCTTGGTTCTATCTCTGCTTCATTTTGTATCTGAATTCAGATCTATTAATGTGCATTACTTTTTGGCTGTGACACAGTGGCGCTCTTCAGGTATAGAAATATGCCTTTAAATTAAAAGGTCACTGGGGATAATTTACTATGGACAAATAGGCTGTTCCCTTTGCAAGGGAACTTGCAGTTTGCAGGGGGATGTTCCCTTAGCTTAGGGAATGTTGTGAAATTTCACTTTCCAAAGAATACTCAATCCTGTGCCAGAAAACAATATTTCTGTTTGCACATGATTGGTTGATGGAAGTCAGTAGAACTTGACATCATTCACTAAACTTCCCCTGCAAAGTGCAAATTCAAACAAAGTGAACAGCATATTTGCCTTAAGTAAATCTACCCCACTGTCTCAGCTCAGAAACCGGGGAACCCAAGTCCTGAGGATGAATACCCTTTCTAGTCTTGCCCCTTTTATGCCATCAAAATCAAAATGAAACAATTTTTTTTTTAGTTTTACAACTTTAAAGTTGTGTGACATGCAAAATGTCCTTTATGTGCAAGCAACCAGAAATAAGTAAAAAGGACTTTATTAAAAGCAACATTTTTGAAGTCTCACCTTGTGGCTGTATTGGCAATGACTTTCAGGCTGCTAGGATTGCGAATTAACTTGTCCAAGATGTTGACAATCTGCTCAAACTTTGGTCTGTTGTTTCGATCCTTCTGCCAGCAGTCTAGCATCAGCTGATACAAGGCAGCTGGACATTCCATGGGTGGTGGCAGCCGGTAACCTTCATCTACCGCTTTAATGACCTGTTAATAGGGAAAACACTTTTTTAGAATTACAATGCTATTTTGGCACAAATGTATCATAAAAACAAAGTCCTGAGACTTATTTATTGTTGCCATTTGTTTATGTTCACAAGTCATTACCCCTTTAAGAAAACTGCTAGCAAATTAACTGTAAACACCATCACCAAACCACAATAATTAGCTCGTTGTTGAAATATTTGCTTGAATGAACAAGATAAATTTTCTGTGTGTCCTACACAAAGGACCAAAAAAATTCAATTTGAAAGGTACGTTTGAGTAAAATATGGATTTCATTATATGTAAGGTAAACAGTTGGCAATAATAGCACCCCCAGCTACGGACCACTTAAAGTGCCCTTCATGCATAATCGTTCCACTTAAGAGGAAGAAGAAAATAAAATGAAATCATTGTATCACATGACTACATTCCGTATATATATTTTTACTTTGATGTCACATTTGATCACTTAATTAGTCAACTGGTGTTTATGTAAGCCTACAATAATGTAGGAGAGGCTTGGCAGTGCACAGAAAAATTAAGTTTCCTCTATGAACAAATAATCAAAGGCTGGAAAATGGTCTTGAAGATTATAAATGCCTCATTTTTCTAATTGTTGATGGTGATGCATGAAAAGAAAAATGTGACTTGATGTTAAACTTACAGATGTTGTTAAATGAGTTAATGACAAGAAAAGAAAGCACTTTGAGGGTATGTCCACCTTGACTATTAGATTATGTGTTATTGTACATGGTGGCCATTCAGTCAAGAAACGGCTAATCATATCCAGCTACTAGTATCTATAAAGTGCTGCAATTGAGCTGAAATCAGAAAGTATACTAAATTTCTCTTTTATCTGAGTTAAATAATACCCCAATTAGCTAGTTTCTGATAGGGATTCTTGGTAAAACTGCAGCATCTTGTCACATGATTCTGTGCTGTAAAACCTTAGTATAAGTGTCAGTGTATTTAAAGATGGCAGTACATGGATCATTATACATCTTTTCAGGATACAATTTAGGGCTATTTTTTAATATTAACTGTAGAAATCAGAATTTAGCTATCAGGACCACCAGGTGTCTAATTTAAAATGTTTATGATCAACTGGAGTGTACTTTTTTGACAAGGCAAGGTCAGGGCAAGGTAGATACGCATTTTCCAACCTTTTTTCACTCACAGCACTCTTAAAAATTATGTAAAGTCTCAAGGCATCCCAGTCTAAAATATAAGAGGGGACTCAACAGGAAAACATAAACAAATGGGGCTCCTCATTTTGCATCAAATCCACTCTTCACATCAGAACCCTCCTTTAACTTCAGAATTCTCCCTTTCACATTAGAGGACCCCTTTACAACAGTAGCCCCTCTTTTACATCAGTGCCATCCCTTTCACATTAGAAGCCCCCTTAATATCCAAGTCCCCTTTTCATATTAACATTCCCCCTTTTACATTAGGGTGTCCCCATCAAACATCCTCCACTTCACATCAGAGGCCTTCTTCACATCAGATCCCCCCCACCCCCCTTTCATATTGGAATTCCACCCTTTTCATCTGAGTTTTCCCTTCACATCACTGTGCTACCATCAGAAAATGTTGAGGTGCCCCTGAGGAAGCCAGAAGGCACCTGGGGTACCACAGCACCTTGGTTGAGAAAGGCTGTGGCCGATAACAGCAAATTTCAGAATAATATATGCATATGTATTGTGGCAGTGTAAGCCAATGCCACGGTGGAGGATGGCGACCTTGGCACCCAGGACTCTCAGCCAAAGGGGCTGAGAGGGTCCAGAAAGTAAAGCAGGTTATAAGGAAGAACCTGGCTTTTAATAAGAGTAAGCTTTATATATAGATAGATGGGACATATCATTTAGATGCTGAAGTTATGGATTTTCCCTGAAGATCCAATTTCAGACGCAAGAGAAATTTCACAGCAAATCAAATTTGCAAATAAAAATAATTAGGTCACTTTCTGGCTTGGGGTAGAGACAGCCTACTGCAACACTAACTGTTCATTTCAGGACACATCCAAGAATTTGTAAACAGCTGACCACAGAATTCATAAGTGGTGACACACCACTTGGGCACTGGCCACAGACTACTTGTTGTGTAATCAACATTTCACAGTGGAAAAAGAAAACTTCCACAGTGTTTACTGTACTTAAAAGTATATTTTATTTTATGTACAATTTTTCTTTTAACCAATAAATTCTACTTAAAGAAACAACGTTATCATCCTAAAGCTGATCTCCAGCATAAAAAATGCATATACATACTAACATTGGTCTAGCTTGGTGCAATGTAGGTATAAATACTTACAGGACCCTGGGAGGGTCACTCCAGCTACAGTGTACTATATCCTCTTCCAAGTATGGGAACAGCCATTGTGCTGAACGACTCCCCCTATTCTGTTAAAACGGTCACTTGTTCAGTACAGCAGCCATTCAGGGCAGACCTAATATTCTTCTCAATGAATACTAGGCGTTCTCTGATTGGATAAGGGATGGATCACCCCTCTTCCAATAAGAGAATGCCTGCATTCATCAACCTACTGTGTTTGAATAGCAGTACAGCATCACTTCAGCACGTTCAGCACGTCATCTGTTAATATACCCAAAAGACACTATAAAACATGGTAGTAGCTGCAGCTACTACAGTGTATCGCACGATACCCTGTGGCCCTACCAGGAATTATGTATTTTTACTTACACTGTGAATTTCTGTTAACAGGAAGCAAGGAGTGTGCAATGTATCTCCCTTTAGTCATAGTTTACATAGTTGCCATAGTTTACATAGATTTTGTATCTTTTGAATTTTTACATTTATATGGTAGCAGAGTGGATTGCACATGTTTGACATGCTGTCATTTCTGCATCTCTCCAAGCATTCTATTTTGTTTATTTTACTTATGAGTTATTGGCTTTGTGCTCTGAATTATATTATTAGCATGTGTTTAGACTGGTGGGAGATACAGGCTTGTGTTTACCTTACTAATTTCCAGATGAGATATTGTTTTACAGCGTTTTATAGACATCTCTAAAGTACAGCAATGGTTTCATGAAACAGAAGTTATGTCCATATCATCACTTCAAACACAAATGCAAAATGAAAAAAAAGTGATTCATGGAGTAATTCTTGATTCTGAGCTCTCCTTTCAGCCCCACATCCAATCACTATCCAAAAATTGCCAACTCAACCTCCATAACATTTCCAAAGTTCGTCCCTTCTTAACAAATGATACCACAAAGCTTCTAATTCACTCCCTTGTAATATCTTGCCTTGACTACTGCAATTCTGTTGGCCTACCACTAAGCAGGCTGTCCCCCCTTCAGTCCATTATGAACAGTGCTGCCAGACTCATCCACCTTACCAACCGTTCAGTGTCCACCACCCCCCTCTACCAATCGCTCCACTGGCTCCCGCTTCCCCAACGTATAAAATTCAAAATACCTACAAAGCCATCTACAACTCCGCCCCAACCTATATCACCCACCTCATCTCAAAATATCACCCTAACTGCCCCCTTCGCTCTTTCCAAGACCTCCTGCTCTCTTGTCACCTCCTAGCATGCTCGCCTCCAGGACTTTTCCAGAGTGCCTCCCATTCTCTGGAACTCATTACCCCAATCTGTCCGCCTATCTCCCACTCTGTCCACCTTTAGGTGATCCTTGAAAACTCATCTCTTCAGGGAAGCCTATTCCACCTCGATATAACAGTACTTTCGATTCTTCCATTCCACACAATTATTACCTTTTGTATCACTTGCCCCTCCTACTAGATTGTAAGCGCTCACGAGCACGGCCCTCCTACCTCCTGTACTGAAATTGTATTTTTAATTGTATTGTCTCCCTCAATTTTGTAAAGTGCTGTGCAAACTGTTGGCGCTATATAAATCCTGTATTATTATAATAATAATAATGATAAAAGTGATTTCATCATCAAATAGGATACTGGGCAGATTAATGGAAATTCCTATTAAATTTGTATTTCTACTGCTTTTCACTCTGGGAAATGAGGCAGCCTCTTTGGGTGTGCTCATCTGAGTTGAGTAACCTATATTTAAATTGCATGATTCTGCCCACTAAACCACAAATATCTTTTAGAAAGGCAGTGGTGAATGTTACAGCTCTTCAGTGCTTCTGGTTTCTTTTGGTCAAGTTCACATTAAGTTGATAATATTTGTATGAAAGGGAATTGTGGACACCTTAACAGAGCTGTTCTGAGGGAGATCTGTCTAGAGGAGTTCAACCTTACCAGACCAGCAATATAATGGAGGCAAACCAATGGAGGCAACTATGTAGGCTGCTAACTACACAGATGAATGTGTGGTCCTCATTGATTTGCACTTTTTTTACAGCTATATGTGCCCCCACTGAGGGGATTCTTCCTCTGCCGTATGGAAAGAGATGGCAAACCTAACATACAGACTGGGTCGTTATCATTCCCTACAGTATACAAAACTGCTCATAGACATACATTCTTACAACATTTCAAGGAATATGCTTATTTAGTGATACTCTTATCTTGTAAAAAAAAAAAGTCTGTAAGACAAAAATATCAGATACGACCAGTCCTGACAACATGCTGGGTCCATAGCAATCAACAGAATTTCAGTTAATTTAAATCATATCTTTTAAAGAACAATTCTGTTCATTATAATTACAAAATGTCATTGTTCTTTGAAATACCCTACTAAACCAGATTATAAGTTTAATAATGCCTTTCAGGTACAATCATATTTAGCCTTGATTCAAAAATACACCAAACATAATAAGTTATGTTATTGAATAAGTTCTTACATCTTGATTAGACATTTCCCAGTAAGGTCTCTCGCCATATGACATAACTTCCCACAGTACGATGCCATAACTCCAGGCATCACTTGCTGATGTAAATTTACGATAGGAAATGGCTTCTGGTGCAGTCCATCTAATTGGTATTTTGCCACCCTGAAAGGAGAAAAGTATAAAAAGGAAAGGGCAATAACTTACTAAACCCATATAACTTATTAAACACTTGAAATATGGCAGTATGTTCTAGGTACCAGTCACAACACCAAGCAACAGAAAACACAAAACAGAGTTTTGCTTACCACTGTCAATATTGATACATTGGAAAATTATAATTATTGACTCAACATACCAAACCCTTGTCCCCTGTTCTATACATTCTACACACAGAAAGTTCCCTATGAAACACAGAGTTACCATAGAGTGAGGTCAGGTGGATGGGTTTGCACCAGCCCACTCCACCACTGATCACTCCAGTCCTGAAAGAACAAATCTCAGAAAAAGAAGCTTGAGGCCAATTATAATATTAACCACCACAAGTGAACATCAGAAATAGTTATCAACACATGATTTTGCCGCATAACTGCATTAAAGCTCAACCCCGTGGTTTATTCAGCAACATTACCTTTTCTGCATAGGAGTGGTTCCTTCACTTAACATGCACTGTTTGGGAACAAGGCCAATAAACAATTTGCCATTCAAACAAGGATGAGCAGTCCTCTCTGTCTTTCTTAACAAAAGATTTCCCATGCATGGATCCTGTATCCTTTGAGGGCATCCCAACAGATGATATAAGCAGACTTAGTATGTGGTACTTTCATTTAAATAGTCCTTTTGGATGTTCCGTAGTGAAAACTGCACTTAAATGGCAGCTGCCATAAATGCTGTGTAAGGATTACCTGCAGAGGCTTCTAAATCATTGTCAGTCACTAAGACATCATCTTCTCTCCATGGTATGTTGCATCAGCATCTAGTGTTTCTTTTCTCAAGAATTGTGATAGCTTCTTGCCAAGAGTCACCAACATCACAATACCATGGCAACGTTGATAATAATGCTGCCCAACAATTGTCTAGGTCATTGCCATGAAAAGATCCTATGGGAGAGTTATTGGTGCTCGTTGTCCGATGACATATCATGAAGATATCAGAAAGGTGCAGTGGATAGTAAAGGAAAGCCTATAGTTTAAATCGCTGTTATGCTTTTGAATAAGAGGATGTACCTCCAAAAATGTGGACATGGGGATTACTCTTCGTACAGGTTCAGAGCAATCTCCACATTAAAGCTGAAGCTTAATGTGCATATATTTTGCATTCCCTGGTTCCTCACTCCATCTCCATCTCTATCCAACTTGCTTTAAAAATATAAATAAAACCTTTCTGTTTTCCTTACATACATAATTTTAGACCCAGTGATGGATCTGTGGTGTGTAATTATCAGATCATGGCTGGTCAAAGGAGCTGTACATAGCTTCCTGAAAACAACACAGTACCGCACTCTCAACTCTGATAAAAGCAGTGGGCTGGCTCTTGTGAGTTATGCAAGTACCAAAATGCATTGATGGATGTGCTGTATTTGCATGCAGAATGCCCTAGGTTTTGCCCACATGAGATGCTGAGATTATGTTAGACTGGGGATAATAGCGCTTGATGATGCTGGGCATCCTCCAGGAAATGAAGTGGGCTCTATAGGATTTGCTGCATTTTCTAATGCACACTGTGAGACGCTTACAGTGTACAGTGAAATCAATTTCAGTGTGGGAGAGGAGCCTATACAACTGTGCAAAACTGAACACAGTGCTAGAGCTCAACTTTAAGATGATGCAACCTTCATTAGCTCAATGAAGAATATGAAAGCTGAAGTTCTCAATTAAACAAATTTGCAGACCTGAAAAGCTGTACTGTGAGCATAAGCAAACAATAGGCAAATAAAACAAGCTGCTTCTATATAGAATTGGGGAGTCCTTCTTATATAACCTGTACACACTATCATTTTACCCATATTTTATTAAATGTAGATAAAGAATATACCTAAAAAACATACAATATTTTATTGAACAACATAACCTGAATGTGTTCACTAATTCTTGAATAATTTTTATGTTTTCATGTAGGATTTGAACCATAGTGTAGCTGTACAGCACTTCATAAAAAAGTGCCACCCATGTGACTGATAGCTAACAGCCGCACCATGTTTAGGAATATTTAACGCCCTATTACCATGCACAGCCATGTACTTCATTCACTAAAAGGATTAACATAGATGACAGCTGTGTTAACCTCTATACTAATTGCACAGGATATAACTTTTCTCATCTAGATCTGTGTGTTCCTGTGTAAGGTGACCTTAAATAGAGGGATTATGTGTGATACATCAATTTTCTGAAATGCTCTTTAGCAGGGAAATCTATATGTATTAAACAGGTTAATTATATTATACACTAGATGGCTGCATTTACACTTGGGGGTGATGACATACTTATTCTGAATTACACAAAGTAAGAAGACATTGAAATAGAATTGCTTTTAAATCAAATATCCGTTTGCTAAATATATCAAGGCTAAGAGTTTAGTGGGCATCCTTTTTCAAAGTAAATCAGTTCTGAGAGAAATATGTAGGCAGTGACTGCTGACTTCTCCATGCAAATGCTAGTATACTGGCTGTCATTCTGCTCAGATGACTTTAATTATTTAATTCAGTCTCCTGGAACAAGTATGCAGAATGGGGGTACTGACTTTTGTCTACGTCTGTAACCCAGGAGATATGGAAGCCAGATACAGCCAGCAACTAACACTTTCAGAAGCAGGTCAGCAATGGCAGCCAACTTATTTCTTTCAATAAATGTTTCCTTTGAAAGGGTTGGTCCACATATGAATGTAAGTTTTAGCTAAATGTTGGAACTCGTGGAAGAACCTTTTTTTGTCTTACATGAAATGGGAAAGATTTGGAATTCTTGTCCACTATTTTTACTATGTGTGGCCACACTGGTGGTCATAAAAGCAATAAATCTTAACAGAAGTTTAAAGATTTATCCATTTAATTCAAACAAGGAAAACAAAAGTTTTTTGGTTGGAGTTGAGATTTAATATGGCTACATTAAAGCTTAATTCTCATGAGATATCAAATAGAAACAATCCCATTGGGGTCAGGAGGAGCAATATTTTCAGCCAGCCAGGTTCTACCAGCCAGGTTCTAGTGCTTTGCACCTTGGTCTTGATTTTTCTGTGTGAGCCTGATTGCTGGAATGGGGAGCACAAGGATGACATTATCAATTTGTTGCTCCTCCACTGTCCAATCACAAGGCAGGGGATGATCTTGGACCAAGCTGTATTGTTTTCCAGTAGTGTAGTCTGCAAGGAGGTCCAGGAACTGACATTTGGTGCCAGAACACAAGATTGTGCTCCTGCACCGTGACATTTCCAGGCACCTCAAGCAAGTGGATGGAAGCCAAGACTCAGTTTATTTATTGTAAAAGCTTTATTATTGCCAGCCTATTTTAACCAATTTTTGTTTGGGGGCCTGTCAGGAAAGTGCCCCTTCCATGTTCATGGAAGGTCCACCTTAAGTTGTTTTTCTAGAGTTTATTTTTAAAAGCATAGTGCTTAGTGAGGTTTTACTGCTGTAATTTAATTCTGTATGTCATGACCAACACCGTGACTTTTGCTGCACACTAAAAACCTGTATATCAAGTATATTTTAAGGTAAACACGCTTATTTTCATGGATTTATTTCTTTGGTTTTATTTTTAGCATAGACCTTAATGCAAATGATGGCAATCATAAACAGGATACATTAACTTTTCATTTAATTGCCCAGTGTCATAGATGACATACAGCACAGGTAACTTTCAGTCAATTAATAGTGAATTTCTGTTATCAGGAACCTCAGCTAAAACCGGAAAGTATCGATTTCCTACAGCAAACAGAAGATTTATAGGGATAATATTTTTCTAATAGATACACTGTAATAAAAATTACATTTAATGTGTAAATAGGAACCATGTGCAGTGTACCTCTCATAAAGGAAAGAGTGAATGCACAAAGAACCTTGACCGGCCTATGTATGACAATGATGACTATTTTTACCCGGGGATCATTGGCCCCAGGGCATCTGCTGTCTGTAACTTCTTTGAGGAGATTCCGTTGTGACTGGTTCTCTTTAAATTATAGTTGACAACATTCTAGAAAAATGGGGGCTATGGGGACAACTAAAATGTGGGTGTGACTTCAAGGGTTGGGGTACATAGAGGCATATATAGCAGTCTAACAGACTACATCATGACTTTCCTTGTGGCTCATGTATGGTGCAGCTCACTTCTCACACTGCTCAGAAAAGTACATGCAGATACATTTGAAAACTCCTATGTATGTTTACATACAGAAACATAGGACAATGTATCATATAAGGGATTTAAAATGATAAAATGATCTGTGGTTTTAATATATATGTGCACTTCAAATCTGTGCTTTCATTTCTTTTCATGTCATAGAATGGTGGAGTTTAACTTAAACAGCAATCTGTACAACACGTACCTTTAAATCCCTTTTTTTGAGTGAAACTATGCCACTAAAATAGACTTTCTGTTGTTGGGACTTTTCTGTAATGACAGCAGGAACAAAACTCGGACACCTGGTCCTTGTGTTTATTTTCCAGATCCAAGATCTGGAACGTAACACCTGGACCTGTCTTGTGTGTGTATTATTCCCTTGCCATACTTCACATATTGATTTTGAGTTGGATCACAACGCTGGAATTTGTTTGTGTGTTTTTCTAGTACAAGGCTGAGGCTGTTTGGTTGGTGTGGATGCCTTCCAGCTATAAATTCAGCACCGGACAGACCTGTTCGCAGATATTGAACATGATGTAACAAAGAGCAGATTATGAGAGTGTTTTGCGAAATAAAATCTAGGATCTGGAATCAAGACGGCCAGAACAGGGAATACACACGCCATGCAGGGTAGAAACAAAGCTTGCTTGTCTATACATTATACTGCCAATCAGATGAGGGCTGACTTGGGGGCAACTGTCCGGCAACTATGTGCCTTTGCTAGCTTATGTCTACAAGGATTTATGTAAAAAGTGCTCAAAAAATAAAATTTAGCAGAAAGTATTATAATTTTGTGACTTCTTTAGAAGTCTTCAGGTTTCTGAAATTTGGATGTGCTAGGAAACCTAAAGTATATCTAAAGCCAAAACTGTTTTTTCTTTTAGTTTTGGTTAGGGTTAGAGTGGGTTAAGGTCTTGTCTGCCTTTTTTAGCTATTTTAGTTATATATTCATTTTTTTTGTCGCAAGCACACATCAGAAGTTGAAGGAAATCTTCCCAACGTGTTGGGCGACAGTTGCCATCTGACATGGTGTCCCCATCACAAGATTTTCCTGGTAATCCTGCATCTGTGGCAACTGAAAAACTTTGGATTTTCCATTAGTACAAACATGTAGGGTGAATCTCCCTAGCAGGCACACTGACAGCAGCAAGAACATTCCACACCTCATCCAAAACTTAAAAAACAAGTTTTGACTTTAGATATACTTTAAGTCTAACTTACATAAGTCTCAGTTACATGTATTCTGAAGTGAAAAAGGGGACAAGGAGAACTATATGAACACTATTGTGGCTATAAATGGAGCAGCCTTCACAGAATCACACATCTACAGCCTTACGCAGGAACGTTAAACCAATTAGGGTATAGATTCATTATAATGGAACATCATGGGGTTAAATGAAAAAAATATAAAACTTAGTTTGGTAGCTTGACAACTAAGACCTTTTTATATCTTTTAATTTTGTAAAGCTGAGGAATGGTACATCCTGGTATGCAGAGCAGACGTCTCCCTCAGTGCTTGGGTAGATTTCCATTTAAAAGGGTATCTGTGCCCTGCCATCTTCACCTGGAGTCCCCCTTAGTTAATTGAACCCCATGAAAAGGGCTTTATTTAGACTTAATGCTGCCCTAGGCATACTTGAATGATGATGCCCTTTTGTACAAACTCCACCCCTTGTGTCATGTAAATATTTATGAACAAAACTACAGCTAGAATGTTGGATGCAGGATATGGTCTGCTTTTTATGCAGACCACAAAACAAGTCAAAAAAAGCAGACAACCAAACCACAACAAACCAGTAAAATAAAAGGGGTACTAGTCTTCCCTAACACTACTAGATGTCCCCTCACCTCCTGTCTGGATGCCCCTGGAACAGGCAGTGAGGAAAAAGAACCTCAAAAATTAGTAAAAATGTCCAGTGGTTCTTATACTTACACACTCTTTACAAAACCTAAGAAAAAAAAGTTTTGGGAGGACTTAATCTTTTTGGGGTTGTACAAAACAATCTACAGAGCTTTTTATCTTGCGAAACTGCATGCACATTTGTTCTGTACGAATGAGGACAAAAACAAATGTTTAGAGCATATTTTCTTTACAGCCAAATGTAATATCATGAAAGCACTGGATGATGGCCACTAGATGGAGCTGAGATGCATAGGAAACACCCACTGGATCAAATAACCAGATGTCCCTATTACACTTATAGAATATACACACTAGAGCTAATTGGGTCAAAGACCAGTAAATGTTTTGGGGTTGTGTAATGACACTGAAGTCCCCCCTGTAGCCACCATGCTGCATACAATTTGATATAATACATTATTGTTATAAGAAGTCTTTCTCACCCTGGTTGTGTACGCTGCCTCTGGGTCATCTTCCAGGATTCGGGACAATCCAAAGTCAGACACTTTGCAGACCAGGTTACTGTTGATAAGTATATTGCGGGCTGCCAAGTCACGATGGACGTAACCCATATCCGAGAGATATTTCATGCCAGATGCAATGCCGCGCAGCATACCCACCAGCTGGATGACTGTAAATTGAGCATCGTGTTTCTGCAAAGAATTTCAAGTACACGACTCATATACTAATTGGCCATTAAATTATTGTAGAGTACTGGATAGAAATTATCGATGACATTCCTGTGTATGATTAGCACATATGTATGGTGATTTACTGGGATAATTATACTTCATTTACTAGATGCTAAGCAGTATATTATTCAAGCATGTGCTAGGAAAAAAAATAGGCAGCCTGTACAATGTTGGATGTTGGAGACTAATAGTATCAGCATGCCCTGCAAATGAACACTGCTTGATTTCATCAGAGTAGCTGTAACACCAGCAGCCAGCTTGCTCACAAACATAGTTACATAGGTTAAATAAAAAGGATAAAAAAGAACCCACATCCACTGGGTTAAACTAAAAGACAAAATACATTTATTGAAAACCTGCATCTTCAAACAATGACATTGATGTGGATGATACCTTGGTTGTGTATTAGGGCCCACTTATATTTGTACATATCATTTACAGCCCATCTCCAGGATAATGTACACTCACCTCCCACCCACCTATAACTGATTGTTAGATGAAAAAAATGTCTTTGTACTTATCTAAAGTCACGGTCACTTGACGTTCAAGTCCCACAAAATGGTAATATTGTGCATTAATGTGCATCATATTACAGGGGACTATAGTTCTCTTTAGGGTCACAGAAGGACATTTACTAATGTCCTCCTGTGACCCAAAACTCAGCACTTAGCAGGCTATTGCCCACTATATGCTGACAGTGCTGCAGCCGGGAAGAATCGCAACAAGATTGTCGGGATCCATCTGTGCCTTCCCCCTCCCCAGTCTGTTCCTCCAGTGAGTGTTGGAGGAATGCAGAGGGGAGGGGGGAATCCCTGCGGGGGGAGGGGGGTAGTGACTGACAGTCACCGCTCTCTGCAGGGAAAAGATCGGGAACTGAGTGATCAGCGGTATATGATTACACAGTTCTCGATCTATAGAGCTGATGTGTGACAGCTGCAGTGTCACATGTCTGGTCTAACTATTGGGATTAATGTATTTCACTCTCCACATAGTTCTCCTTTAAGGCAGTCCATTCATTTCAATGGGTAGCCTTATGGACCAAAACATCCCATGGTGCATGCACTATATTTGGCAACACAGGACACAATGCACGGTAGCGTGTTAAGGTACATTGCGGTGCGGTGGGTTGGAGCATAAACATGCATGACGTGCATTGCTGCCCATGTTCCCACAACTCAATAGTGTGCATCAAAATGGATAATAAAAATGACAGTCTGTCTTAAAAAATGCAACCATTACTTACTCTCAGAAATGTGTCCAGAGAGCCATTTTCCATGTATTCTGTCACAATCATCACTGGTTTGCCTGAAAAAAAAGTTTTAATTAAAAATGATTTGCATAATGAATTCGATTTGCTCTTTTAATACAATACATACATTTGTATCTGCGTATTGCTACGTTTACTCAGCGTATATTTTTCATTGATGTTCTGTTTATGATGGTAAAGTCTTGTTTTTCCTATTTGTGGAATTTGTTCCCCTGAATAGGTAAGGTGAATGTAGCTATCTTAGTGCATTTGTAACACCATTGTTAAGCTTTGTATGTGATACTTTCTTAACGGGCACTAACAGTTAATTCTTCAGGACAAACATTCGGGGGGTCTACCCCTGTATTCTAGGTCCAAGCAGCACAGGGTGACATAAACACCAATAAAAACTTGAAACTCTATCCAAAACTTAAAATACATGCCCTTACATACACATGTAGACAAATCTGAAATTAAGATGGCAACCGGTGATAGAAAAAAAATATGATAGGATAATAAATGTAAGTAAATGGATCTCAGCTTTATAAACCAATATCAGCTTATTCTCACCTCTGTGATGCTCTTTGCCCAGTTTTCTCCATTCTGACATTAACAGCTTGTTTTCTTAACTGTAGATTTGTCTTAACAGTTTGCTAAACCTTTATGTTTCAGTAATGCTTGGCCCTAAAAGAAGGGGGTAGACCCCTAAACCATGAGGTGAAAATGATCTAATAGTTCAAATAAAAAATGATCACATATAAAACTCAGCTGTGTTGTTTCCTTAGATGGAATAGTGATCCCACTTGTTAGTATTGCGTTACCACCCATTTTGTGGTCTGAACAAATGCTTTCATAGGAATGTACTACTTTCAGAATAGGGAAGCAGGCCCAATAGCACAGATAAGAGAAACTGTAAATCAGTCCTTCATCCAACAGTAATAAAGCCCAGATCCAACCTATTGGGGAGATGCCCTTCCCCATTTCTCCTCAGACAGGAATGTGTTGAGTCTGTAATAAGTCTATTCTACCAGAAAGCATAAAGTGGAAACTATAGTGTAAAAATATGGCAGCAAACAGTGTGAGGAATAACAGAAACATAAAATAGTTAAAGGAGAACTATGAGGTGAGTGAAAATCACACATCCTCATAGTTCGAGCCCTCGTGTGACAATTAAACTGTCACATGTTGGCTCAATAGATCGGGAAGTAAGCAAACTCATACCGTCGCTTGCTCATTTCTCGATCATCTCCCTGCAGAGAGCGGTGGCTATCAGTCACCACTCCCGGAGGGATTCCCCCCCTCCCCGCTCCGATCCTCCAGCGCTGACTGGAGGAAGGGACGGGGAAGGGGTGGGCACAGCTGGATCTGCTTCTAGATAGGCAGAGCCCGCTGTCACTCACACAGCATTGTCGGGATCCGTCCCGCCTATGGCGGTTTCAGTATACCGCAAACTGTAGCTCGCGATATGCTTAGCTTTGGAAAAACAAATGGCAAACGCACTCATCAATTTCTTACCAGCTTTACAGCAAGGTGCACATGGAAGGGCTTAAAGTGACATTAAACCCTCCGATTTTTTAACATAAAACAATACTGTAATGTGTGCCTTACTGTAATCCATGGTTGTTTCCATTCTCTTTGCTGCTCTTCCTTTTAAATCCGTATCTCTTCTCATGCTGGGCAGAACTTCTGTTTTGCAGCAGACTGCCTTGTCTCTGGAATGGATACATGGTGTCTGTGTGCAGGTTGACAACCTGAGCCAGCACTACAGGAAGAGGCACTCAGCTGCAAAGGGAAGTTCTCCCCCAGCATGAAAAGAGATAAGGATTTAAAAGGAAGAGCAGCAAAGAGAAGGGAAACTACCATGGATTACAGTAAGGCACACATTACAGTATTGGTTTATGTTAAAAAATCTGAGGGTTTAATGTCACTTTAATACAGTACAACAGCAAAAATGTGAAAGCCGCACAGCCGCGCCAAGGCACCTCAATATAGTGGGCTTCCTCCTGACAAACCTGCACCCAATTTTATCTTTTGCCCCATGTGCTCCAAGATAGAGACTCTCATAGTTTAGAGTTAGGACAGCACAATATAGAGGTGCCTTGGCGTGGCTGTGCGGCTTTCACATTTTCTGCAGAAGACGTGTGTCTAAACCTCTGTTTTTAACCTTAGCAGTGAGACAAGTTTTTTTTGCATGCTGGCTGGTGAGTGTGTTTGCTGGGAAAGTTTTGCTGTTATACTTAGCTTTGAGTCACGGGAGGACGCTAGTATATGTCCTCTCGTGCCCATTAAGAGAACAATGGGGAAAATCATTTACCCCATAGTTCTCTTTTAAGGCAAAAAAGACCAAGTGATCAATTGAATCTTCCCTTTTTTTGTTGTTTGGTGGATTTTGTTTAACTCTTTCTGTCTGCATATAGATCTATATTTAAAAAGTGAAATACAAAAAAATATTGTAAGAAAAACACACAAAAAAGTTTAAAATAAATATATAGAGAGAGATATATCATATACATATTTTGGGGTAAATAAAAACAAGGAAATATAAATATATGTATCTAAATGTGCTACCAAATCAAACCCTATCTGTCCTGCTAAAACAATGTATAATAAATACATTAGGTAAAATGAGCAGAAGCGAGGAATCCCTGAAATGAAAACAAAACTCTTAGACATATGCAGTAAAAGGCCTAGTACTCAAGTGGTTAAATACACTTACATGCAAAGACCATACACTACATACTGACACAGTACATTCACTGCTTGAAGAAACCATATACAGAGACACTAAAGCTGGCCTTACACTAATAGATTTAGATTAGAAAAAAACTTACAGTTTCCTCTATCCACACTAAACAGTGTAGATGGACGATTCTTCTTCTGCAGTTATTGTATTGTGACAGCCAGCGCCCACTGCTGTCAGAGTACATGAATGGTGATTGCAGCTGATTGACTGCAGTCATTGTTCAACCAAATATTTTTGCCCAGGTTCTTTTGACATAAGTGAATTGAGTAATTGACGTTTGTGGAGCTGTGTGTGGCTAGCCAGAGATGCTGGTGATAAATGCAAAATGTGCACCTTAAAATTCAGGCACCAACTATTGCTGTTTTTTATCGGCACTTACTTTTAGTAACAACACCTTCCAGCCGGATAATGTTGGGATGCTCAAATTGACCCATGATGCTGGCTTCACTCAAGAAATCCCTTCTCTGTTTCTCAGTGTAACCAACTTTTAGAGTTTTTATTGCCACACCGACTTCCTTTTTAGAAGGTAGTTTTAGCCGTCCGCTGCACACCTCTCCAAACTCTCCTGCATAGAAAGAGCAAAAAGGGCTTACCATTAAAACAGGGGATGCAAAGGAAACATTGACAATGCTACTGAAATCTTGCTGTACACTCATTTCAGGAGCTTCTAATGGCATTTACAGGATTGGCAGGAAACTAACATTTATTGGCATGGCAGAAACATTTCTACAACCTCCATTTTTCCTAATCATTTAGAAAACATCACTCAACCCACCACGTCGCCAATGATGTGATATAAAAATATTTCATTTTCAACTTGATTTATTTAGTTATTCCTCATACTGACAGCTGAAATGTTACTATTACATTGATATTTACAGTTCCTTTCCAAAGTCAACATGATGTCAGCTATCCCATAGTTTCCAATATTACTGGCCACAATAAAGAACCAATTTTTGCGCAAATGCTTTTTAAGCTCAACCTTGAAGGGCTGAGTTTAGGAAACAAGAAAAAAAAAAACTGGGGATGTTGCATGTATCATTTAATAAGATTGTATTTATTACTGCTTCATTTGCATCAGGATAAATTAGTATGCCAGTCAGACAGGTAGGCAAAGGAAGCTTACGTTTTTTTTTTCTTTGCAGCATAGGTTTTTCCACAGTGAAACTCCAGGTGAACAGCTAAATAAACCTTCATACAGTACATGGTCACTGCAATTAAAGCAGAACTCTAGGCACAGATATTATTAACCCTTGCAGTTGGACTACTCCAGCACTGCAAGAGTCAACTGCTCGTTTTTGTCTCAACTGTTCCTTGGAGGGAGCTGGCTCGTAGATCAGTCCCCGGAGTTTCTCTCCCCCTCTGCTGCAGCGGTCTAAGGTGCCTGAGTTATCACGATCTATACACAGTATATAGGATGTGAGGAGGGTGAGAGACATGTCATCCATGCAGAGGAGGAGAAGACAGGCAGGAGAGAGCGCTGTTACAGTTGGCCAGGTCCCGGGTTCAGGTGAGTATAACTTTTTTTTTATTTTGATCCAAGACAAAATGAGCAGTTAACCCTTGCAGTGCGGGGCTAGCCCCACACTGGGGTGAATCAAATTTGTGCCCAGTGTTCGACATAATTCAAAGTCCTGGTTCAGGAATGCATTACCTCTCTGCCTCCAGCCTCCTTAACAGGCAATGAGGGCAGTAAATCAGTTTTATCACCTCTGTCCAGCTGACCTAGGGTGCTGTATTGTTAATCTTAGAGGAAGCAAAGGGATCTTACTAACTGGCAGAGGGATGTGTATATTACAAGAATGTCTGGCCAAATAAAAATGTATTTCAGCTGTGAATTCAGCTACAAGTACAGAGTTCTATTTTAAGTTTCTTTCGACTTCAGGGAACTGATATCTGATATCCTTCTTTATGATTATTCCTATACTTTACCACCCTAAACTATTCATGGCATCTCTGTTTTTCCCCAATTACCCTTTCCATCATTTATGTCTCCACTTCTACTCTATACCTTTCTTTTTTACTTTATCATAAATACCAGTCATTTTTAAATGCTTCATGTGTGATTTTTTTTAACAGCAACACTTATGCACATTTGCATGTTGTGTGCTTTATGTTAGCGTTCATTCTAACATCAGTCTACAGAAAATTAACACAAGCTAGGTGAACTGCCTGTAAGCTTCTTACATCTGTAGTGGAGAGATGTCTCTTTTCCCTTACCTTTAGTTAGTCCTTCCTAGCAGTTGGGCTCCCTATTTAATTTGCATTATGTATAGACAACCAGGGTAGTGTGACACCATCACTTGGCTTTGTAGTTAAGCATCTGCATGGCAGAGATGAGATGTTCTTGTCATTGAGGTTTCCAATTGGTGTATGAAGGCAGTATGTGATTAGTTGACATTGCCATCAGCTGCCAATATTGATACATAGGGATGCACCGATACCAAGTACCGTACTCAGTACAAGTTCAAGTCTTGGAGATACTTCGATCTCCAAGACTAGACTAGAGAAAAATTAAAAAGTTAGGAGGCAGCTGTCATTTGTAAGGAGCACACGGAGCTCCTGGGATTTGTACATCTCTGTTTTAATGTATAATTTTGTTTTTATAAATATAAATAAAGGGATGCACCGATACCATTCTTGCAAGTACAAGTACTGATACTTGTCCAAGTACTCACAGATACAAGTACTGATACATTTTTGTTTATTGTCATGTGACAGTTTTTCTAAAACAATACAGACTAAGGATTTCAGGACAGTGGTGGAGGGCCAGAGCCAGGTCCCAGCTGCAACCGCTGTAACCCTGGTAGTTCTCATGAAAATGCCAAGTATCGGGACTGGTATCTGAAAAGAATCGGTGCATCCCTATTGATATATCAAGTTTAGAAGGCGTTGACCTTAGAAGATTACAAATACATCTATAAATTTACTAATTGAAATGAGATTTGAAGTGTTGTATATTGACACATTCTGTATTGTGCTACGTACCTGCTCCAATAACTTTGTCTATGGATATACATGCAGAGTCCAGCTCTTTTGCAAACTCATGCACAGCATGACTAGGATCTTCATATGTGTGAGGGTCTACGTAGGTTCTGAGTCCAGGAAATTTTACTGTTGAAGAAACCAAAGATACAAAGTGAATCCATAGAAAACAAATTGACTGAAGAGACAGTGAGAATTAATGTGACGTCCGAGAGCTCCTTATATATTGACAACATTTTTCTAATTACCATGGCTGTGGTAATGAAATGTCAAATTTATAATATTGGTGCAATAACCTCCAAAGCATGGGGTTTACTCATACACCTGTAGAGTTATCCAAACCCATTTCTACCTATTAAAGTATATTCCAGCTAAAACTTCTTTTTTTTGTTAGATTTTAACAGAATGAGGAATAACTAGAACCCCTGTTATATTTTTTCAGCCATCTGGGGCTCTACTTGAGAGATTTGCCTTCACTTACTGCCCTGGTGACAACAGTTGCACCAGACAGGAAGTGAGGAAAGATCTACACACACACACACACACACACACACACACACACACACACACACACAGAGAATGTGTTTTTTTTCCTGTAGAGAAAGAAAAGGCTAGAACCCCCTTTCAGATTATTTTTGCTGTTTGTCTCCCTCTTTTGTTGAGGCTAAATTGAGCTTTCAGTGTAAGTTAACTAAATAGATTCCAGGTGCATCAAAACAAAAATCAGCCACAGCATGAGTAGAAAAGCTTTTCTCCTGTAAGAAAGCTGTAGAGAATGATCCATGTTCTCTGTGGAAAAGCAGTGATCTCTCTGCAGAGGTCCGAAACACCCCCCCCTGAGTCAGAGCTAGAGCTCTACCAATCAGCAAAGATTATGAGCTATTGGTCAGATTCAACAGGGGGAGTGTCAGATATCTGCAGAGAGACCACTGCTATAACACAGAGTTGTGGCTTCTTTAAGAAGAAAATCAACTGTAAAAACATTGAACACCTTTTGTTTTGATGTACCCGCAATGTATTTAGCGGATTTCGGGCTCAATTGATCTTGAAACTACTGTCACCATGACTGTAGGTGAGGATAACTCTTTCTAATAGCCCTGGGTAGAAGTAATAGCATGACAGAGGTTCTTCCCCTCTGTTGCAAACTAACAAAAAAAAAGTTTTGACTGGACATATACTTTAATAACTAAAATATAAAAGTTCCATGCCTACAGAACGCAGCTTACTGCTGCATGCTATCTATAATTATTTCCCCATAATGGGAGTATAAAGGAAGAATCTGATTGGATACAATGGGAAATAACACTCTTTGTAAAGATAAAGGGATGTTTGATGTAAAAACCACAGATGCCAATACATAACATGCAGAACACGGTATACCTGCATATGATTTATCTCCCATCTTTCATTACTCTCTGTAAGGACTAAACTAAATCAATGTCCTTATGTTTCGATCAACTGATACATGTCATACTCAAGCCATCAGCAGCAGATTTATTAATTACCTTTTCTCCAAGTGATGCATTTTCATCAAACAATGCCTTCCTGCTTACATGCCCTAACTGCGATATTATCTGCCATTGTTTTTTTGTTGTCTTTTTGAAGAGGAAGCAAAATAAAAAATGGTAACCATGCAACTGGTAAAGTATAATAAATAATGTAGCTGTGGGTCTCCTAATGCTCAACAAGTTTAATTAATTTGCTTATAATAAATGGTCTCTGCCTTTTCAAGGAAATAAGCTTTAATTCACCAGAAGGGGTCGGTGATTGCTCTGCTGGATTTGTAAAGTGTTAAGCGACAAATGATTTTCAGCGTTAGGAAAATCAAGCAGACAGGCCAGCAAGTGAGAAGGAAATGGGTGCTTTCTCCTATGGAGATGTGGTCATTTTGTTTTCTAGGAGCTCCGTATAAACAGAGCAGTTTGTTAAGGGTTGGGGTGTTATGTAGGAACACCGTTGGACGCTGATGAATTGTTCTATTGTGTGAAAGGTGCTAGAACTTACTGCCTGTAAAAACAATACAATTAACAAACACAATTAAGGCCAATGCAAGCATTGCCCCACGGCAAATCCATAAACTGCCTGGTAATGATCATTCAGAGTCTCCAGCCTACAGCATTTGCTCCCCAGACGGAGAAAAATATCCATATAAACATTTGTTCTTCAATTGTGTTGTTAAATTGTTATTCTGTCTATTATGCTCATATGGAGCATACGATGTTATACAAGTATATGTAAAAGTTGTAAAACACACTTGCAGCTGATAATATGATATAACAAATGTAACCCTTTTTTCATTGGCTACTAAGTTCAAGTAGTACTACATATTGTAGTATGTTCTTAATTTAGCCAATTTGGTTCATTAGGAATGGTAAGATTTAAGGGCTTGTTCACACCAGCAGCAGCGTTCACCCGAATGGCTGTTTGTGTGCATGTGTCCAGGACAATGCCACTGCAATCGATCAAGCTGTATCACACTGTTTTTTTTTTTTCATTAGAACTTAATTGAAATGTCACAAGTGACATTTCATTAAGTTGTATGGGCTCACCACGGTGTGATGCAGTTGGGCCGTGTCTCACTGTGTGCGCTTAAAAAAAGTACTGCATGCCGTTCTTTGGAACACAGTAGTGTGAACTGTCACCACCCATGACAAGGCAAATTGTCTTGTTTTGCATTCGGGCTGCACTGGCATAAAAATGGCCAGTGCAGCCCAAACGCAGATGATGTAAATGAGCAGCTAAGAGGGAGCAGCCTGGGGTCTCTCATTTCATAATTTACATGCAATTTGCATACAAAAATAATTTGAATATCACATATATTACACATGAATCATATGTGCAGAATAAGATTTTTTGTAATTTTTTGACTATTAAAAAAATGATGCCTGTATGGTTATATTGTAGGATCGTAAATTGAATGGCCACACTCTGTTTAATAGTCCAGATACATCTTTATTCAATGTAGGGTTGAGGGGACAGAATAGAAATAGCCAACACATTTCAGGAGCTCTTACAAGTACCTCTATTTGTCTGCCAAAACAGCTGCTGAAGAGCTCTATACATTCTCAAACACTGGGCAAATTAATTCCAAATTCAAGCCATGACAGTTCTGATACATGTTCTCCCTTAGTAAACCTTGATGAAGGAGGTATTTTTATGAGCCTCCGAAACATGTTGGATATGTTTATACTGTCCCTTCTACCCTATATTCAATAAATATGTATCTGGACTATTAAATGGAGTGTGTTGCTTCAATACACAATCCTGCAATTTGACAGTACAAACCAAGGATCCTCTGCAATATAGAAGCTGTCTGACCGATAGTCAAATCACATATACCACCTCTTTCACCTCATAATTGGTCAGCCACACCAGTAGGATAAACCAACACTTTTATTCGACTTCTTTCCTGTAGGAATATATATTGGCAGAGGCTCCTATATATGGATATCTCTTTATCTACTTATACCAGAGAAAATGTCTATCTCCCACCTTTGTGTACCTTATATTTAACTAGAAAAGCTTTCTACACTTCTGTCTGCAAACTATGGTGGAAAACCAGGACCTTTCCTAAAACCTTTACATGTGTTGTGGCATCTTATATATTAGTGGTACCTGCAATCAATCCAATTAATTAGTACTGCCTTGGTGATCCACACTGATATAACAATATAGTGAAGATTAGTTAGGCACTCAAAGGTCTTCTATGACGTTTCAGTGACTCACAACCTCTATATCCATCGGAGGATGCTGCACCACAGTTCAATGCTGAATCAGCAATGCAATCTTTTAATCTTTAAATAATATAGTTCAGCTTTTTTTGTAACTGCTAATTCTAACTGCATCTGTAAGAAAGTTTTAAAGTTCTGTCAGTTTAGTCAGTCTGCCTTGATTGGAGTTTATTGTTGGCACTTTAATACACAAAGCATCTATGGTGGTGCTTCTGGGTGGGACTAAAACTTTTTCTCTTCTAAGCTATTCCTCGCTTTCTGTCAAAAAACCAGGATACTACTGTGAGTAAGGCTAAAAATATTAATTTACACTTTACATACATACATAAGTCTACTGGTAACAAGGGAAACCAAACTACCTTTGATGCAAACCTATTGGTCTAGTTTTAAGACTAAAGGTTCAGCCTAGAAGTCAGTCAGAATCAAATGTCATGCTGTAAACTGCATACGTGGGGCACAGACTGCCTGTGCCTTGTTTTTTTTACTCTAGGCATAGCTGTAATGCAACAGACCAACTAAAGCCAACTAACCAAGTGAACCTATTCGCCTTTTTAAAACAAAAATAACTCAGATTTGGGTACATGCTGGTGGTTGAATTAATCACCTGATGTTTGTATTTCTTTCTACACTGGTATTTTTTTTTCTACACTGGCATCCTGGTACTAACATCTTGGGGTGTCCTTCTGCATGTTGACATTTTTATCTTTTCCATGAAGGAGATGCAGAGTAAAAAAAAAAATGTGGAGAGCGGAAGAAAAACCCCCCCCCCCCCCCACAGACACACACACGCAGACAAACACACGCACACACCCACCACCCCTTTGAATAAGTAGAGGTGAGACTCTATGGTGGGAGGATTTGGACATAGAAACTGCAGCAGGAGAGTCAATAGGTTGTTTTCCCCAACTAGGTCTGCGCAGAACTGAAATATTAGATTTGGGTGGAATGAGCCTTTCAGCAAAACATTGAGGGGTCTATTTTCCAATGTTACCTAACTTTCACACATCCTTCTAATTTAATCTTTTATTGGAAAATATGAATTCTTTAGATACATCTTGGGTGAAAACATTGATGAATAGACCACAGAACAAAAAAAACTATAATCAGCTTATGAAACTCAGCATAATTACCAGTCTGCAATGATACCCATGCTAATAGTAATTGCCAAAGATCAGTCTATTCTAGCTAGACAAGGTTAACCCAAACAAACCAACATTCCCAAAAGATTATTTTAGCAGGTTTACTGTGTTTGTGCTTTCACACTTACCAAAGTGCAAATTATATGAAAGCTAGTATGCTCACAACCTGTCACATTTCTGAAAATCTCAGAAAAGGTGAAACCAACCAGTGCAACAGGCAAATTTTCAGCAAGAATAGAGAATGAAAAAACACACTGCT